TGGAACACTTTAGTTGCAGTTTAAATAATTTAGAGGAAACCCTCCGATTATCCAGGATCGTTTCTGTTTTCAGGGAATGTTGACGAAAACACCCAGGACGGAACAAGAAAGAGCTGCCAATGGTGTGTTGGTGTGTAAACACATGTGAGCATCCTGAAGTTCCTCCTCTCTCAGTGGAAAGTCACACAAGAACATGTGCCCCCCACACACGCACGCACGCATGCACACACACACACACACACACACACACACAGCTATTTGTATTTGTGAATGTTCTGTGTTATATACAGGCTACATCAGTGTGATGTTTGCTTTGTTGCCATGGCAACAGACGTTTGGCGCTTACACATCATATCCGGTACTCAATGATTGACGCTTGGTTACTCTGTCTCATACACACACTGCATGCAACACACACGTGACACCATAAAAATGGTCTCATCCTTCACCTTGTCGCGAACAGTTTTCTGCCTTCAACAGTTTTATTTTACAGGAAGTTACAGGGAAGATTAAAAACATATTTAATTTACTTATTCATTAGCATGTTTTAGGTGGGAAAACACATGCACACAGAGAAAATATGCTGCTTTGTCTGTAAAGTGTGTGACTGTCAGTTTAGGGGCTTAACTAAGCCAGGGGTCTGTCGCCATATTTCTGAGTGAATTAATAAAAACACAGCATATATGTGGCATAACACTGTATGTTACACAGAAAAGAGAGGAAGAACTAACTAACTACTTATTTCTGAATTGTATGAAATTTAATTTAACCAGTTCCTCTCTTCTTACATATCATAGCCTTTTGTCTTCTTATATATTAAATCTAGACTTTACTGTAGGATCTATAAGGTGTTAGAACTATATTAGTTTCCTGAAATATCAAACTAAATTGTTCCAACCAGACCACAGGAACATACCAAATGTTTAGTTTTCCACATTTTATTTATTCATCTAATTGTTGGGTTGTAGTTTTTTAAAATAATAATTTAATTTAAAAGCCTGACGTAACCTATAGTTTTTCCTGCCCTTGAATAGGTGCAATGTGTCATCATTGATGAGCTGGTAACCCACGTAGGAAAATTTCAATAGTCTGGGATTCAGTGAAGATTTTTGTGTTTCTACCCTCACATGAACAAGAATCTGACTGACATCAAATGTGTGTTCTTTTTGGTATAAACATGATAAAATTTATACTGATACTGACTGTGTACTCTAAATAATATTCATTACCATTAATGACCACAAAGATGCACATATTTATCATGAAATTGTACTTCAAGATCAAGGAGTGTCAACTTTATTTCTGCAGAAGGCTTAGAGTACTGCTTTACTTTCATTTTTTTTTTAAAACAATTGCCAGTGACCCCAGAGAATAAGAATTAGCAAAGATTTTTTAAAGTATACTTTTATAGTAATATGTTCTGACATAATCTTTATTTAAAGTAATTTGAAAAACACTAAATTACCTTTAAAACTCAAATTAAAATTAGCAGATTACCGTTTTTTCATTTTTCAAAAGCTGATAAGAAAACACTAACACCTACACAAACTTGCAAATCACAAACATACCAAACGTGTGATTGCACACACACACACACACACACACACACACACTGTTTCCTACTTTCCTCATATTTCACACTCTCCTACGACCGTATGCAAAAGCTCACACACCCTTTCTAACTCTACAGAAAACACCCACATGTGCCCCTCACTCAAAGGTCTTCAAAATAAATGCACACACACACACGGGCAAGCGTGCATGCTCTCACACAAAGAGATGCTATTCATTCATTCAGCGTCCTTTCAGCTGCAAAAAAAAAGGGGGACTGAGGAGGGACCGTACACTCAAAATGACAGCGCTCCCTTTCCTGTCCACTTCTCTGTCACACTCATGAAAGTCTGCACAGAGATAAGTACAAACACACTGAGAGCTGCTGAAGTGAATTACACTAACTGATACTATATGTTCATATATCACAGAACTGAAAAGTGGACTCTTATTTTCAGCTGATGATGAATAATGCTCTCTCTGTCACACGCGCACGCACGCGCGCACGCGCACACACACACACACACACACACACACACACTATAGTACAGCGTTTTCCCACACAGGACCTTGAGAAACGAATACTTCACACACCCACACAATACACTGAAACTTACAACAACAACACACATTTCTTACACACACATGCACACACGAACACACGCACACACGAACACACACACACACACACACACACACACACACACACACACACACAGACAGACTTAAAATCACCCACCTCAGTAACAATGCAAAGAATGCAGCCCACAATGTGTTTCACTATATCTTTACATGAGTCACTAATAAACAAAAAACCAAACAAACAACGGATCAACATACACACAGCAAGAGTCAGCGGAAATAGTTTGTAGTGAGTAAGAAGATAACAGTTGCTAGGGTCAGGAAGTCACAAAGACACACATACATTTAATATAAGAATGTTGGTCAGAGTTTTTCAATAAACAAATGAATCAAAGATTTACATAAAACTTGCTGTTGAATTCTCCTCTTTCCCACCTTCTGTGTTTTTTATCCACACGGCCATCCTCTCTATGTCATTCCTCATTCCTCATTCTCTTTCTCATCTAATCCCCATTTCTCTCTCCCTCTCTCTCTCTAGCACACAAAATCAAAAACAAGTTGGTGGAAACAGTCCATAACTGGCCTACATATTGTAAATCTAGCCCACACGTTCCATACACACTTTTGCTTTCATCTTTGAATGTTAATTTCTTGTGTAGAACTGATTCAAAGCAGTTAGTCTCTGAAAACACTTATTCCTATTCATGCTTCCATTTATTTTCTTTTTCTTAAGAATTCTTATATTTTATTATCGAACTTCCCCGTTCCTTTCTATTATGAATCCATGTGTATTGTGCATGTAGTGTAGGTATGATTGCTTCCACTCAGCCACGAAGTTTCTGTCTATAATGACTTCGTATATAAGAGGGACTCTCCAATATCGACAAAGCTAATCCTGTATAACGTACAGTCTAATCCCTATAGAAAACACAAAAACACCAAAGCATGCATGCCCGTGCATACATTTTCTCTTTTGCACTTTCACTCTCTCTCTTACACACTCTCCGACACAAACACACACATGAATGCACTGAAATAATTTGGCATCCAGTTAACGTCTCCCTTTTCCCTTTGCATTTAAAATCCAAACCAACAACAAATTAATTATTACTTTGATAATTTTGCCTTTCTAATAATAGAGTTTGGCTTTAAATAATGTATGACACATGACATAAAACAGTCATCTTCTGAAAATCATTAGATAAACCCAGCCCCCTTTGCTCTGAGTTATCGGGATGGACGGCAGGGATTATTCCAACTTTACTGTGTGCTGACTAGTGAATTTAGTGATTGTTTTGTCATCAGCAGTGATTCTAACAAGACTAGTCCTGACCTGGTCAATCACACAAGCCTGTTCCAGGGCTTACGTGGGTCACGTGACCAGCTTTAGCATTTAGTTTACAAGCAGACATGAGGATGGTGGACAGACGATTAGAGGAAGCCATATGGGACAACAGCATGTTGGCTAACAGGCGCTTCTTTCACTGGGCATCAACACACACAGGTTGTGGCATGTTCATGTGAATCTAACCCTCTATTACACTGTGGGTGTTATTTGTTCTCGCACAAGTTATTACAGAAAATAAAAAAAAACATTATACAGCAGTTTAATACTTTTTTTGTTAAAAACAACCATGATTGTTGAATAAATGATTGTTTACCTTAATTAGATTTATTGGATGAATGAAATACAACACAGTAGGCTATATTAATGATTGTCTGGTATTTTTTGATAAGAAAAATATATATAGAGAGAGAAACAAATCACCAAGCCAGGTCTTTCTATTTACTATTTCATTTAACAGGAAAATGTGATTTTAATATTAAAGCTTCAATATAACTCCCTCTCTTTCTCGATTTGTGTGTGTGTGTGTGTATGTGTGTGTGTGTGTGTGTGTGTGTACAAAATAAAAAGAGAAAAACTTGTAAAGCTCCATTTCTAGTCTTCTCATTATTCTAATAATTATGTCACTTGCAGTAGCTTCAACTAAATTCAGTGGAATGAACAGAATTATTCCTCCTTTTCTCCTATGATACTTTTCTCAAGCCGTAGCTGCACAATCACTGCATTTCTCTGTGGATTCTCAGTGTCTGAGGAAAAGAATCATTACCATCGTACTGCAAAATTCTGGTCAGCCCACTAGTTCACGGCCAGTAAAGAGAGTTCCCTCTCTCCATTCTGAGTTGACACTGTGTGTCTCACTACAAGCCACATAGCAACCAAAGAAGATATCCTTTAAAAAGTTATGAGACAATTCTGATGACAATGGAATTTACTGAGTATACTCTATGGATGACTATTTAAATTGTTATCCAGAGTGCTCCTAACCCTTTATGCTACGCTATTGGAGATGTTGCAAAAAATTCTTCCTTTGAGGTCAAGTGGGGATTCAATAAAAATTACAAGGAAAAATTTCCCTCATTTTTCATTTGTAAATACAGAGCTGGACTTTGATATATCATAGAGGAATAAAGTTTGACTAGAGTGATATTTAAAAAACAACATATTAACAGTGTAATCAAAGCTATAAAGAGTGAAACTGCTTTCTGAAAATTTAGTGTAATTATTCTTCATTTTTAAATAGCTGCACTATATAATACATTTTTCAACACATTGTCTCTGAATAATAATCTATTATGATGTATAGTTTGTTCTTATCAACAAGATACATTTCCTTTTAGGATTTTTGCTTGTTTCATTCTTTCATCGTGGCTTGGAGAATTTTGTATAGCCACACACAATATACCCTTTAATTGCTTATTCCACAAAGGTCCTGTTATATGTTTGTCATGAAATAACTGAGTTTTTCCTCATCCCTTCAAAGTCAGTGACCTCACATACAAAATATCCATGAAGCAATTCTCACCTGTGCCAGGACGTCCCATGATGATGTCCTTTCGTGGGACGGGGTGAAGACTTTCCGCTGGCAGGATCAAGGGCAGCAGTGCAGTAGGAGAAGGGTGACAAGGAACTGGCTGCTGGACCTCACCCCCGAACCCCGTCCCCCTGTTCTCCTCCCGTTCCCCAGAGGTGTCCGTGCTACTTGGAGCGTGAGCTGTGACTGCTGTGCTGACAGTAACTGACAGGGCCTGCAGGGGGGTTGCAGGGGTGTCAGTAGTGGGCAGGGAAGAAGGTGTTGGGGACACAAGCACCAGAGTCTGGGCTGGGCTTCGCAAAAGGACGGTGCCGTTGGGTACTGTGGCTGTAGCAGCGTTAATGGGGACGGGAACCTGGAGGCCAGAAATTGGCTGAGGGGTGAGGGGTGTTAAGCCGATGTCTTTAGATGAAGTGTTATCTATCCCTCCCTCGTTTCCACCTCCTCCTCCGCCTCTTCCCAAGGGACATTCTGTAAATTTTGCCAGTGGGACTTCGGGATTCCTCACAATGACAGGGGAGTCCCGCAAAGCCTGTTGGGATACAGGGACCACACGACGAGGCCCTCCATCTGGAGTGAGAGGTGAAGGAGGAGTTGGAGACACCAGTAGAGGAGGAGGGGAGACAGCAGTGGAGGACGGGGGTCTACTGGAGGAGGGGGTGGTCACCCCTCTGGGTCGGGAGAAGGTGGATGTGTGTGTGTGGGAATGTGAAGCTGGTGTTTGGGGGGACAGCACCCTGAAAGAGTTGAGGTCCCCCTGGTCCAGCTCTGTCTTGGGTGTGTAATCGTGGTGGTGTGAAGGAAGGGGTGGTGGAGGAGGTGCATCTGGCTTTCGTTTGCTGGGGCTCATGGGGACTGTAAACGTCAGGTTGCTGTGGAAGGAGGGCTGGATGCCTGAAGTGTGTCTCTCCCTTTCTGCTCCTCCAGCTGAGGTTGTTGCTTTACTGCCCCCTCCCCCTCCTCCCCCCGTACCACTGGGCTGCCTGTGCCTCCGGTGTTGCAGAACCGGGGAGGCGGTAATCGGGGAGAAGTTGGCCGGCCTGAAGCCAAACAGTGGGGAGGGTGAGGGAGAGGGGGCAGGGGAGAAGGGCGACTGGTTGGAGATGGGAGAAAATGAGGGGGTGCCAGAGCGAGAGCTCCCTAATGATACAAGCATGGTGGCGGCCTCACACTCATCGAAGTCAAAGCGTGAAGACAGATCATGGGGGAGGAGGGAGGGTAGGACCAGACGGGGCCTTGAGTCTCCTCTGCTACTGGTCTCACTGCTCTCCCTTGATGTGTCGTCCCACTCAAACTCACTACTGGCTCTGCCTCGCAAGTCAGAGGGGGTGACTGTCCCTGAGCTGCTGCCACCTCCTCCCCTCTCTCCCCCTGCTGCCTCCATCTCTTTGGTCCTCATGGATAAATGTCTAGAGCAGTATCCTCGACGCTGAGACTCCTTCATACAGCCCTCCCTGGAGCACAGCCTTCTCCACTGCTTACCATTGAACTTCTTACGGATACCATTAGGGGTGCACACCACATCACCCTTCTTGTATTTTTGTTGAGCCAATGAGAGGGGAGTCCTGGAGCGAGAGGAGGTAGAGGAGGACCCCCCACCAGAAGTAGGAGTAGGGGTTTGGGTGGGAGTGGTCTTGGATGGAGGTAGGTTTGGAGTGGTGTTGTTCATTTCAGACCCCAGTAAGGCAGGGGAAGGGGGTGGCTGAGGACTAGCTAGGGTGGAGAGGTGCGGAGGCCCCAGACCCCGTACTACAGAGAGGTGGGGGGAGGATGGAGGGTAACCACTGGACTTGGAGATGATGTTTCTCTGCTGAGACATCCCAGCAACTGGCTTGGGAGCAACGGTAAGGCCCATGCTAAAACGAGACACCTCAACGTCTTCTTCAGGAGTGTTTGGCTGTGTCTGTCTTTCTCTATCAGAGTAGTTATTTCCACAGCCATGAACTGTGCTGGCTACTGCACTAGAAGTCACAGTGGAGGAGTGGGGGGGTGGATGTACGTTTCCATAGGGATGCCCTCCTGTAACCCCTTCATGTGCAAAACCATGGACCAACCTTGCTCCCCCTCCCAGCACCCCCATTCCAATGCTCAACTGGCACACTTCCCTCTCTACCTCCATCTCCTCCCTCCGCTCCCTCTCTTCCCTTTCCCTCTCCCGTTCTCTCTCCTTTGCCCTCCCACCATCCAAATGTGGGACCTCCCATGGAGGGGTGAGCAGTCTCAGGCTCTGTCTGGACACCCACACAGCTTTACCATTAGCTTTCCTTTTCTCTATCTCCTCTGCCACCCCTCCATCACCCAGAGTCTCTCTGTCCTCACTTAAGAGCACCTGGTAAGGAAATGAAACACCAGGGTGGGGGTCCACCTGAGTGACAATCCCCTCTCTGTAGAGGAGAGGACCCCCCTCCTCTCCACCAAAGGGCACACACACTCGGGTCCCAACAGCCACAGGTGCCATGCCAGGAGGGGGGGCATCCAAAATGAACTCCACAGTGCTATCGGCCCCTGATGACGATGTCATCACAGTTCTACCACGGAAAGGGTATTTAACAAGGGTCTCTTCTCCTTGGAGCTGGACATCAACAGTACCTCCACTCACCCTACGCACTACCCCTGGTCTGAACACAGGTGACAGGGAGGGGCATGAGTCTTTATCCTTAACCCCTCTGTCCCCTGCAGCCCCAAACCCACTCTCCATTGTCCTCTTTATCTGGCGAGCCAGGACTCTCTGGTTCTTCATGCCTTTGGCCAGAGCTTCAGCTAGCCCCTCTGAAAGACTGGCCTCTTCAGGATGCGAGTTATGGAGGGGAGCTGGGATGTGGGAATTTTTTTGATGAAGACCTGGCCCTGTTGCTTCCATCACATCCAGGTCAGCTGAGTGCTCACTGGCTGTATCAGTGGAAGAGGAGCGCACCGAGTTAGGGGCCCCCTCTGACTCATTTTCTCCAGCTTGGGACTCTTTTTCCTGGGAGTTTGCTGTCCTGAGGGCCCTATCTTCCATGGAGACAAAATGGTTTGCTTGTCTAGCTTTACTATCCACAGTTAGCACTGATGGCTGATTACCTGAGCAATTATTACTTCTACTATTACTTATATTAATAAAAGTACTATGGCTCCCAGCACTACTGTTACTACTTGTAGTCATATTGTAAATACCACTTGTAGTGTTATTGTTAGTATTACTATTGATGCTAGTATTAATGCTTTTATTAATGCTATTACTAATACTGTTACTACTCTTGAAATTATTATTGGGTGTATTCACATTATCACTAATTTTGCTGTTAATATTGCAGTAACTGTTGTGTATGAGTGCAGGGCTGGAGGTAGGAATGGTAGTCATGGCACTTGCATTGTTAGCAAAGTGCTCATATGTATATTTCTTCTTGGGGACACGAGCCTTAAATGTGGCTGTTTTCCTACTAGAAACAGAGCCTAAACTGGTGCTGTGATTTGTGGTCAGAGGAGGTGTAGCTGTGGAGAGTGGCGCTGGGGCAGAGGTAGGAAATGCTACAGTATCAGTGGACATAGCACTGCTTCCATTCATGCCCACTATCTTCTCCTTTTCTGTCTTTTCTTCTGCCTTCTTTCCATCTTTTTCAATGGACTCCACAGGTTTCCTCGGCTCAGTAGACTCCGCCCTCGTGGGGCTATTGCTGTTTGTGATTGGTTCTTCATTTGAGTTGGTGGCTGTGGGCAGACTCTGTTTGCGTGTCGAGGGAGTGTTGGGTGTGTGCTGTGTGGTTTTGACGTGCGTCTCCCTCTTGACTCTTTTGGGGTCTTTCTCTTGGAGAGGCTGAGAGCCTCCTCTCCTTCTCCCCCCTCTGCCTCTAGTTAACGGTGGAGAACGCCCTCTGTGTTTCTTTATTGGCCTCATCTCTTCTTCACTGTTCACAAAGTGCTACAGATTGTGTGGTGCTCCTCTTTCTTCACTTCTAAGGCACTCCTTTTATTTTTCTCTGCTTTTTCTTCTCCCCCTTCTCTGTCCTTCTGTCCTCTGTATTGCAGTCTGGAAAGGAAGAGGTAGATGCAGAAGACAGGTGGTCATTTATTATCTTCATAATCAAAAATCGCTGAGAATAAAAATGACGTCATACCTGGAAGCGTGCTACTCTGCACTGGCTATCACACTGACTCAATATGTAACGTATGCTCTCATTCACCCTCCATGTCTGCCTGCTTCACCACACTGTGCATGCAAGCATGCCTGTGTGTACTTGTCAGTAAGTGCAAGTTTGTGTACTCAAAACATAAAATCTTAATTCCAACATTAATTATCCACCATTTTAAAACCTTACAACAACATTTTAAAACAACTGCATGATGAAAATAAAGGACAAGTGTTTTTCTTATAAAAATCAGCATTCTTGTTAAGATCTTATCACCGTTAATTTAATACTACATAATTAATGATGGGTGAATAAACAGCTGTTTATGTTTTGATTATCATGAAATATTGGTTTACCTCCCAGGTAGCCCTGGGTAAGAATGTCTGAGATTTAATGTGGTGAGTGTGTCATTCATATAGTAGGTTTACTCAAAAACAAAGGGTCAGCAAAAGAAAAAATAATTGTATAAAAAGACAAAATAAATACATAAATAAATAAATAAATAAATAAAGAAAGAAAGAAAGAAAGAAAGACAGACAGAAAGAAAAAGAAACGTAAAAATCCAAGGTCACTTGCTTCAATTTGTCTCTTACGTTCTGCCTTTAATGAGGCCTACATCTCTTTAAATGCATGCAGAGACAAAAATGCTTTTCCTCTCTATCTCTCTATGTAACACACACACACACACACACACACACACACTTGAGTCTCAGACTACAGGTCGCCTGATCTCTCCACTGTACTCCCTCCAGCTACTTCCACATGCGACAGCGTAGCTTTCTCATGCTACGCATTATAGACTTGATACTCCATGTTCAACTTGGGATCGCAACAACAACACAGCATTTATTTAGTCTTCTATCAGGAGGTAAAGGGCTGGCAGTGGCCCGGATGAGGTCAGCCTACGACACATAAGTGAGAGAGAAACAGAAAGAAAGGGAGTGAGAGAGGTAGGAGTATGCGGCTGTTTGGCTGTTTGTTCAAATAGGCTGTTCTTGTGTAGTCACTGGGAATTTCCACAGTCATTCTAGCACTCGCTGGCCCTCTCTCACTCTTTCTCGATGTCTCAGTCTTTCCCAGTCGCCTTTTGTCATTGTCTCACTGACACACACATACACACACACACACACACACACACACACACACACACACACACACACACACACACACACACACAAACACACACACACACACACAAATACACACACACACAAAAAGACAATATAATTGGAATAATCTGCCATGGTAAGATACGCCCAAAATGAGAGAAATTAAAAGGCTGGCACAGGATCAGGCACACTCACTGATGCAAGATTACAGGCTAAATACAGTCTCTCTCTCTCTCTCTCTCTCTCACACACACACACACACACACACACACGCACACACTCATACGCACACTTGTGCATATGTGCTTCCCTCGATTAAGCTCAGCAACTCACCAACGTGTGCAAATGCCTGCATTCCCACAAATACAGAAAAGACAACACGGACAAATTCATACAGCACACATACTCACACTTCCTGTCCTAGACACTGGAAAAGTTCGTCACACACACATAAGGTGACCTTACTATTAACTGTTTGTTTGCCGTAACAAACAATCCACAACATATACCAGTATGACACCACTTCCACTTCCTGCAGTATAGAAAAACACCCCTTCCTGGTCCAAAATGACTAATAAACAACCCGAGTCATTCACACACTCTCATCACTGACTCGCCATTTTAACCTCTATACCTCTCACAATATTTACTGTATAAACAGAACAAACTGGCTTTCATTCTCATTACTGAATCATCATTTTATTACTCCTTATTTTCAGTAATTTATTATCATTGTTAGTGATTGGTAATGTACAACATTTACCTACGACCAATATAAACTAGCTGACTAGTTCCACTGTAAAGTCTTCCCACACAGTGCTGTGATACTGATGTTTTGTATTTCATTGCAGTTGCACCATGTGTGTAGTTTCACATCTGGAGTTTACTCGTTGTACTGTGATGCTTCCTGCAGATACAGACATTTGAAAAACTATGTCTTATTGATATGTGCTTATTTATTACAAGGTGTCCGCAACTGAAGATCATTTACTTCATCTCAAATGTATGAAAATTAAACAGATACAAATGTTTCAGGCATTTCTGATCTTTTCAATAGAAGTTTGATGAATTGAATTATATAATCAATCCAAAAATATTTGGGATACTTTTGATATTAGTGCTAATAAGAAAATATATTGTGGAACAAATAACGGATCATACTGTCCATTGCCAACAAAAAGAAAATGAAATAAAGAGAAGAACATAAAGTGAAACACCATACAGTACATTACTCAACCTCTAATTACAGCAGATCTTTGTAAATTACATGCGTAAATCGGCATTTCCAGACAAAGCGGAAAAAGACAGAAAGCTCTTACTGCAGGAATGTACATCCTACCAGTAGCAGGCCAAGTACCCCTTCATTAGAGACAGAGGCCTCGACTGGGAGTGTTGGTCCTGTAGAGTTACACCAGTGCACTGGAAGAGACAGGAAGGAGTCAGGGCCACTTGGCCGACTGACTGGTTAACTGAATGACTTGCGAGGATCTGATCTTAGCATATAAAAATGCGTTTGGTCATGCTCATGGTCTCCCAAAATGCTCTAGGCTTTGGCTGATAAGCCATCGGCAGGCATGTGTGAGTATTCACGTTCTGTAACTTTGAAGGCACTGGACAGCACAACAGACTGTGTGCACAGCATGTAGATAACAGAAGACTTTCAGAATTAGACACTGACCTATCTTCACTTTCAGAACTGAGTATTTGGTGCAAGTTTATAGCCCGCCTGAAACAATTCATCAATCAAAGAAAGCCTCAACCATGTGAGTCCATCCTTAGAAACACATGTTATGTGGACAAGCAATAATC